CAACCACAACACTGGAAGTCCCCAGTGTGAATCACACTCATTGCACTGACGAATCCGTCTTCAAAATCAAATTGTTTCAAATGCGTTCACTCTACACTATTTAGATTGTCCAGGCTGTTGTCCTCATCTTTATTGTCATATTCAGGGCGTTTCGGTCGTTGTACGCTCCGGCCTTCTTCAGGAAATGTTTATATTTCTAAGATGGGTATTGTAACCATTTACACTATTTACATTGTATGGACTGTTTTCCCCATCTTTATTGTTATATTCACGACGTTCCGACCGTTGTACACTGCGGCTTTCTTCAGGATCTGTCTATATTTCTGAGATTTAGTATTGCAACCATTTACACTTTTTACATTGTCCGGACTGTTCTCATAATCTTTATTGTCATATTCACGACGTTTCGGCCGTTGTACGCTCCGATATTCTTTAGGATTTGTCTATATTTCTGAGATGGAGTATTGCAACTATTTACACTATTTACATTGTTTAGACTGTTATCCTCATCTTTATTGTCATATTCACGACGTTCCGGCCGTTGTACGCTCCGGCTTTCTTAAGGATCTGTCTATATTTCTGAGATTAACTATTGTAACCATTTACACTTTTTTACAATCTCCGAACGGTTGTCCTCATCTTTAATGTCATATTCACGGCGTTTCGGCTGTTGTACGCTACGGCCTTCTTCAGGTGATATACGTTGGAATTTCGAACCGAACTCTTTATTTCGTCCACTGGGTTAGATTGCTCTAGTTCCACGTGCCATGCCTTTTCTGGATATCTCAGTTTCAGTTATTTCCCTTTAGTAACTCAAATCTCCAAGAATTTGTTCCCAAATCTTTGCGTCACGTCGCTGGATTACTTCAGCCAACGATGGGCCTTGTGTTCAGTCGTTTGAAAATAGATGTATGTTTTATAATAAACAATACTATGATTACTTAAATTATTTACATTATTCGGACTGTTATTCTCAGCTTTATTGCCATATTCACAACGTTTCGGCTGTTGTACGCTCCTGCCTTCTTCAGGTGATTGGAATTTCGAACCGAAACCTTTGCTTCGTCCACCGGGGTAGATTGCTCTAGCTCCACGTGCCATGCCTCTTTCAGATGTCTCAGTTATTTCCCTTTAACTTAACTCAACTCTCCAAGTTTGGTTCAACACTGCTGTGGCCTGGTATTGAACTCACAACTCGTTGGGTCTAGTCACTGGATCTAACCAATGACTTTACCCACTGGACCATGTGTCCTCAAGGACAGTTCAAAATTTTGAAACGACCCCCAGAATTAGCATGGGATGAACTTGACAGAAGAGTGAAATAAATGAAAAAATAACCCTTAGAATCATTAAAAAAAAGAATGGATTAAATTATCAAACTGAGAGAAACATTTGCTACAAAATGCCAAAACTTTGTGTTGCAGTAATCAAGGCGAAAGGAGGATATTTTGACAAGAGCAAAATTTAATTATAAAATGCTTCATTCGTTTTTGTCATAATAAAATTTCTAATAAAATGTCATCTCAATTTCTAATCATGTACAGGGCGGTCCTAAAGTTTTGTCACCTCCTGGCGAAAAGTAATGAGCACAATAGAAGAACAAGTAATACAGTAATACAAAGTACATATACTGGATTCAGTTTATTTCCTTCCATTGACGATGTCATACATTGAGAAGATCTTTATGAACACCATCCGTTTCGTGTAGAGGCTAGTGTCAGCCATCTGAAATAGAAAATTGCATTGTATATGCGTGACAATACTTTTGGACCACCCTGTATAATACTTTTTGTCTTATTTAAAATACAAAACAACTACTTTTGGGCCCCGATATATATATATATATATATATATATATATATATATATATATATATATATATATATATATTAGTCGACTCTCCCGTCGAGATTCGACGTATGAGGGTCAAGCAGATCAGTTTCCAGGAAACCGACAGCCCGACAGCGGCACATGAGATTTGATTATAGTGCTGAAGGCTTCGTACAGGACCAGCCACACTTTTTGAAGGGACGAATACAGAGACTTGGTGCACTGAATGCCACAAGGTTTCCAAACGACACTCCGCAGGTTTTGAATTCAGAGTTGTCCTTCTCCTAGACCAGTTGCCATCCAAGGCTATAGAACCCAGTCTGTCCTGCTATTTTACCCATAGCTGGAGGGAGAGGAAGAGGATTCATACCTTTCCAAAGGGTATTAGCACGTAAGTGAATGTAATGGATATATATATATATATATATATATATATATATATATATATATATATATATATATATATATATATATATGTATAAGATATATGATTGTGTGAGGGTATGTGGAGGGATAGAAATTAATGTTATTTTTCCATTTAAAAAGCAAGAAAATGATTTTGACTGGATATATCATTTGTTGTTCATGATGACGGTCGTCTTAGAGTATAGAATCCAGAGGTTAGCAGTGAATATTTCGAAGACAGTAGGGAAGCGTTGTTCAGGTTAGCAGTGGATATCCCGGTAAAGTAGCAGAGTATCTTCCTTCTGTTCCTCTTCGCCTGACAAGCTGGCACTGGACATTCGGATAGAGTAAACAAAATGGACGCCTTTATACACGACGGATTGAATATTCTACGTCTTCTGATTGGTTAACCTTCTATTGGTGGACTTGACTCACTTTAAAGTCATTTGGGTTGGCTCACTAGTGCATATATATACACAAAAAAAAATTGCAACATCATTCAACTCTTTCCCAATACTCTGAACTCTCCTCAGATTGACACCCAAGCACTCCGAAATGTTCATATTAGATCTTCCGGCGCGAATGTCAAGCAGTACAGTGTGCCTTTTCCAAATTTCTAGCGTTATGGCTCTCTTTTTCTCATTAACTGACCCTACTGTACTGTGCAGTCAACAAACTCAAAAATAAACAACGCGCATGCGCGAAATTAAAAATCCATTGCACACTTTATATACATAAACTGCTTGCGGTTAAGCAAAGTCGAGCCTGGTCAGTCTGACCTGGCATCTCGACTTCAATCACTTTTCCACCGCTGTAACATAGCTTCCCTGTACCTTTTCTATAAATACTTTAATGCTAATTGTTCTGATGAACTTCTCTCTGTGTACCTCGACTTTACAAATTTAAGCGCATTACTAGATTGGCAGCTAGGTCTCAACATTTTACAGTTGAAATGGATAGATGTAACCGTAAGTTCTATGCTAACAGTTTCTTCTCAGGCACTTCTCGCTTAAGTATTCCCACCTAAGTGTTCTCATTCTCTATAACCCTCTGTAAACCCCATGAGTATTGCTGCGATATATGGTCTGGAGCCCCTTCTGTTTGCCTCGGGGTTCTTGATAGGCTCCAGAGGTGGATATGCAATATAATTGGCCCTGTTCTGATATCTCGTCTACAGTCACTCTTTCACAGACGCGTCGTCGCCTCTCTCTGTCTTTTTTACACATACTTTCATGGCAATTGCTCTGAGGAGCTGCATTCGCTGGTTCCCAGACTTCATGAGTTCAAGCACCCTACGAGGCTGGCATCCCGCTCTCACCCTTTCACTGCTGAAACTCCTAAACATAGCCGTCTCTTCTATTTCAATAGCTTCATGTCTCGCACCTCTCGCCTGTGGAACTCCCTTCCCTATTCCACTTTCCCTGAGAGCTATAATCTCCAACTATTCAAATGTAATGTCAATCGACATATCCAGTTTCCTTGATCTATCCACTGTCTTCTCCTCATTTTTTTCCTCTATCACTACTATCTGATCTTGCTCCAAATTTTCTGTAACCCCTTGCGTCCTAGTGGCTTCCCGCCTTAAAAAAAAAATAGATAGATAGATAGATAGATAGATAGATAGATAGATAGATAGATAGATAGATCATGAACATGTGAGCAACGACAAAGCATTAGCGAAAATAGAACCAAAAAGGACCCTTATACTTAGAATCTGAAAGAGACAATTGAAATTTCTATGACACATAGAAGAAAAAATGTAAAATTTGACAATCACGAGACATGTTGTAGGCGAGGGAAACAGAGGAAAACACTGATAAGAGCTACAAAAGAGAGGAAGTCGTGGAGAGCCCTGATCGTCCACGCTCTGAAGGGACATGGCACGTAGAAGAAAGGTTTAACAGTTATTTCAATTATTAAATCTTTAAAGGTGTCCTAAATTTTCATATTAGACATTTCTGGTTAAATTTATTCCAACGTTATTTCTCGTAGACTCAACGTTTTCTGACCAAGTTCTATTTCCCCTCATTATTTTTTGACAAAGAATGGCAGTTTGAAATCACGTTTTATCATAAGAAGCTGGACGCTGTAAAATACACATTGTTTCGGGCTAAAAGAAAACGTAATTAGCATTTTGCATTTAAAAATATTCATGTGAAGTAAAAAAAAAAAAAAAAGCACAAATAATTTATTGTTAAATGTTTCTTACTAATTTTGTTTGTTTATTTTTTTTTTGGAGGGGGTTTGTTTTTCTTGCTTTATTTGTTGCAGTCTTTTTTGTTAATAGCATTATCTTTTTTTGTTTTTATCTGATTACTTTTTTATTGATTTAATTTAGTTTTACTCTAAATTTTATTGAATTTTGGTAGTGATAGTCATGCGGAATTAGCGTGTGTCTGCTATAGTATTTTTTTTGTTTCAGTTTTTCTTAGTGGACTGTGAAGCTGTACGCTTTCTCACGGCGATGTTACTGGAGAAGAAATACTAGGAATTTGAAGGAAGAATTAAAAAAAAAAGGAAGTAAAGGCTTATGGAAAAGGAAGATAGAAAGTGATAAGAAGAAGAAGAAAAAAAAAAGAAAATGTCGAAGGAAAAAGGCGGCAAATAATGACCGGAACTAAAAGAGAAAGGAAAGAAAGCAGGATGAGTCGAAAAGGTGACGATAACAAAGATATGGAAGATAATAAAAAATAATAAAGGAATGTGAAGGGGAGAAGCAAATAAAAAAAAAGCGAGGTTGCTTTTTAAGAGTAGAAGAGGAAGAAATGTTGATATTTCATCTATTCCTCTCCTCCCTTTCTCTTCAGTGTCATTATGATCATTGTCGTTGCTATCATCATCATCATCATCATCACCATCATCATCATCACAAACATAATTATGATTCTCCTCATGATTTGCATAATATTCTGCGCCATTAACATGCTAATAACTCCGTTCTTTGTAACCTCCGAGAAGCTGGGAGGCATTTTAAAGCATTGTTCTACGATAAAAAAAGGAATTTGACATTAACCCGCAGAAACGATTCCCGAAAACTTATATATGTGCCTATCCGCTCTGTTTGACTATCATAAATAATATATATATATATATATATATATATATATATATATATATATATATATATATATATATATGTACAGTGGGAAAATAAATATTCGTACATATGAAAATTGTATTTTTATAAATGTAAAAGCCAAATGTAAAAACAAATATCGGCATATTTTATGTATAAAGACACATACTATTAAAAATAATAATAAACTTAATTAATTCTTATTCTAACAGAAACCAATGCATTTTTTAAAATTTTAACTGGTGAAAAAAGTATTCGTACAAATCAATTATTAGAATAAAATAATCAATTAATTATGAAAAAAGTATAATCTAGAATGTACCAGTAATGTTATCAGTAATTATAGTTAACGCTATTAGCCATTATCAGAGCATTCTGCAATTTCTAGTTTTACGAGGAGGTTCTAATAAGCCTAAAGGTAAAGAATTGACTATTTCACAAAAACAACACATTTTGTCTCTGGAAAGATGGGAACAGTTACAGAACGATTTCTAAGAACCTGAATATTCCTTTTACTACAATTGCTTCGTTCATTGCAAGGTTTAAAACTCGTAACAGCGTCGAAAACCAAAGACGAACAGGTGCTCCGAGGAAGATTTCTCTAAGATCAGCAAGGATATTAGGACGCCAGATCCAACAAAATCCACAGGTTACCCGAGAAGAGCTGCAGGAACATCTGCGTGCATTAGGGATTGAAGTAACCAAGCGTACAATAAGTAATGAACTACACAAAAACAGTCTGAAGTCACGCATCCCAACTAAGACTCCACTCCTCTTGAAACGACACAGAGATGCTAGGCTAAAATTTGTTAGGGAGCATAAGGATAAAGAATATTCGTTTTGGGAAAAGTACTATGGACAGATGAAACTAAAATAGAGTTGTTTGGTCATAATTATCGAAATCATATGTGGAGAAAGGACGGTGAAGCCTACTTAGCAAAGAACACGTTGCCAACTGTAAAGTTTGGTGGTGGCAGTATCATGATCTGGGACTGTTTTTCTGCAAAAGGTGTTGGCAGAATATCAATAATAGATGGCAAGATGAAGGCCGAAAGATACCAGAAAATCCTGCAAGACAAGTTAATGTGTTCTGTTGAGAGACTTCGGCTACCCCCTGATTGGGTTTTCCAACTGGATAATGATCCTAAACATACCGCTAGATCTACAAGGAAATGGTTAGCTGAAAGTAACGTTGATGTCATGCAATGGCCAAGTCAGTCCCCAGACTTGAACCTAATCGAGAATTTATGGGGATATTTGAAAATTCAAATTGGGAAAAGAGCACCAACAAATATATATAATTTGAAGACAATATGACAAGAAGAATGGGACGAAATACCACTAAATGCGTGCAAATCATTAGTTGAGACGTGCAGGAATAGACTGATAGCTGTTGAACTCAATAAAGGATATTCTACAAATTATTAAATTAAGTTAATATACTTTTTCTGTTTTGTACGAATACTTTTTTCATCAGTTAAAATGAAAAAATGCATTAATTTCTGTTAGAATAAGAACTCATTAAGTTTATTATTATTTTTAATAAAATGTATCTTTACACATAAAATGTATAAAAATTTGTTGTAGTTAAGGCTTTTACATTTATAAAAATACAATTTTTCATGTGTACGAATATTTATTTCCCCCACTATATATATATATATATATATATATATATATATATATATATATATATATATATATATAATAGAAGAGTTGATATATAATCCAGGTGGATTCTTATAATATCAGATATTAAAACTGATCCAGAGAGAGCTCAATATATATATTACAACGGAACATATAGGATATACCCACATGAAGTACTTTTGGATGTTTTGCTGCATAATATATATATATATATATATATATATATATATATATATATATATAGGTTTGGTGCATGTAGAATAAATTCCAATAACCCAAAAATACTATTCTTAAAAGAGTGCTCAAAAATTATATACATATTAATTCATATAAAATTTAGAAAAATATATATTGGGGAAATTGACGACTTTGGACTCTCCTGCGACTCTTGTAGGCGGTCTCATTGCTTAACTTGGTGAATGCTGCCATAATCCTTGCCTTCAATTCATCTTTGGTTTTGCAAGGAGTTTTGTTGGTCTCTCGTTTATCTGTGCTCTACACATAATAATCAAGTGGGGTGGGAAGGTTGCAGGCTGGCGAGTTAAGTGGCCAGATATGAAAGGTGATGTCGTCACAGAAATTATATGCCAACCATGACTGTGTTCTCTCAAGGTTGCCAGACATAGTATCTTCCAGAATCCACCCACTTCACCGAGGGCAGCACTACCTCCCCAAGGCACTTGAATTAGACTTTCGTGTTGAGTCTGAGGCCTTCACCGAAAAAATACAAGAGTTCTTTTCTCATCAGAATGATCAAAGTGAGTTTCTGAGCAACAGTATTTTCGTAATCACCATTAGACTCATCTAATTCCTTCTGAATCCTCTGCACTGTCCTCCGATTGTCACCCAAAACTCATATTGTAGCTTCCGGTGCGAATGCCAAGTAATATAGCAAACTCTTTTCAAATTTCTGGCGGAAAGAATTGCGTCATGGTGGTCTTTTTCTAACATACTACTATACTGGGCATTCGACAAAATAAAAAAGCAAACAACGCGCATGCGTGAAATTAAAAATATAACATGGCGACAATTTTCCCATTGCACCCTGTATATATATATATATATATATATATATATATATATATATATATATATAGCTATATATATATATATATAGTTTGTCCATACTTATTTCTGCATATGCTGTTATTGCAAGTAATACACACACGCGCACACACACACACACACACACACACACACACACACATATATATATATATATATAAGACGCTTCCCTAAATACTAAATACCTATATCCAGTGACCAAGTATAGAATTATTTTTAAACCACTTCTTCGTCTGGTCGAGAAATAATAAACATTCAGTCCTCCCTCATATATATAAACTAAACATGCTTGTAAAAAATGAACAGTCATGTAGAAAATTAACGCCATGCATATATAACTACATTTATTTTGATAAAGCATTCAAATGCGCATGTGCACACAGACACAATACTGTGTCATCGGCATATCTTATTTTGTTAAGATTGTAGTCGCTAATAATGAACTCTAGTAGAACTTCTAATTCTTTCAGAATTTCCTCGCTGTGTCGGTTGAATAAGTCCGGTGAGAAGACACATCCTTGCATTAGATTCCTTTCCATCTTAGTATATTTACTAAATTCATGGTTTATCTGTATGCAGGCGATTTGCTATCTGTTCAGGTTATAGATTATTCTAATATCCTCCCCAAATATGTCAAGGCAGCCGAGTAATTCCAACAGTTTTTTTTTTCTGGCGTACATTATAAAATATCATAATCTATAAAATATACGTATACATTTAAAAAATAAGTCTACCTGACATGCAATATCATGCCTAATATTTCATAGGCAAGTGTAGCAAAGAGGATAATATAAAAAAATATCTATCTTAATAACTGCATTGTTTCAATCCAGGCAAACTGACATCTGACTGTTCAAAGAAAAGATCTAACGGAACGAGTCGCGACTTCTCATGAAAATGAATAAAATTTGGCATCGTTTTGTTATCAAATGTTTGCAAAAAAAGGGGGGTTTAGCCCACAATTACATTCACGCTGACATAGTTGCTACATTGGGGCCCACTTTATCAACACTGCAAAATTGGGCAGCTGAATTTAGGAGAGGAAGATACACTATTTATGATGATCCAAGGTTTGGGCGGCCTTCAACTGTCACCACCGAGGAAAACTGATCGTTTTCACCACATGGTGATCGATGATAGCCTATTGTCTATAAATCAAATGAGCAAGGCCAAGAAGGTTAAGGCCGTTTCATCTGCAGGGGAGGTTATCAGCTTTTTCGGGCGCAAAAACCGTTGTGTTTACTATCTACATTCAAATGGCCACACCATCAATGGAGAGTACTATGTTAACTTGCTGAAGCAGTTACGAAAGTCTATTAAGACCAAACGCCCAAGAAAACTGACGAAATGGGTCTTTTTTTCACCAGGACAATGCTCCAGCACGCAAGTTTTTGTTTTCAATGGCTGCTACGGGTGACTGTGGCTTTGAACTGGTTGATCACCCTCCCTAATCTCCTTTGGCCCCAACTGACTATCAACTGTTCCCCGACATGAAAAAAAAAACACCACTTGGCTGGGAACGAGTATTGCAGTGATAACGACGTCGTATCTGCTGATGATGACTTTTTTGAACAACAGAGTGAAAGCTTCTCCGGTGATGGGAGCCAAACAATGCAACAGTCATAGAAGCGTGTGTTTAGAAGGGGGACCGAAAGAGGACTATGTTGAAAAATAAACCTCATTTGTCAGTCTATGAACATTTCAGACGAACCCTCGTATATACACATATATATATATATATATATATATATATATATATATATATATATATATATATATATATATATATATATATATATATATATATATATATATATATATATATGTATATATATATATATATATATATATATAAGAAATAAAAATAAAAATAAATAAAAACAAGCAAAATAATTTAACCCAAATAAATGAATAAACGACTTCCGGTAAAATAACCGCCATAATAGACTACCCACAATGCACCACTGACCCGTATATATAAAATAGCTGAGAAAAATAACAGCACCCGTGGCCTGACGATTGCATTATAGCATGAAACAGACAGTCGCCTCTAAGTGTTGACTTCTATGTTCACTTTTATATATATATATATATATATATATATATATATATATATATATATATTCAGTTGGATAGATGTGAGTTTGAAACCCAGGGTTTCAAACTTTTACATCTATCCAACGTAAATATGTTAAAATATGTTATCTATCTCTGATATTGAGCGCTTTCTAATAAGTACCGCGCATATAATATATAAATAATTATACATATATATATTTTATTTATATTTATATACTTTTCATATATATATATATATATATATATATATATATATATATAGTACAGTTCAAATTGACAGAGATAGAGTATGTTAATGTAAAGTGGGTTTTTGAAGTCAACACTTCCAGGCGACAGGCTGTTTCATGCTAAATGCAATCAGGCTTGATGATTGTGTTTAGCATGAGGCAGTCTGTTCCTCAGAATATTGACTTCAATGTTTATATATATATATATATATATATATATATATATATATATATATATATATATAAGAACTCAGGTGGCATCACCTTTTAGAGACCAAAGTATGGCAAATAGTGAATCCGCAAACAAAATTAAAACACTATGAAATGATAAAAATATATTTTTTAAAGTAAAAATATCATCCATACATTTTTATATAAAAAAAAGTTACCAACCACACGTGTGTAATAAAATTATGAACTACAATGAATCACAAATAATTAATTCATCGTATGTATTTATCAAATTTACACGTAATTTTTTCCCCTTGATTTCTTTTATTGTTTATTTGTATAATTTTTTATAAATATATATTGTTCCTTAATTTTCTCTAAAAAATTATTTTAATCTATCCCCTTGAAATGAAATGTTGTTCCTTAGTCTTTCTGTAGAATAAACATATTCTTTCTTAATGTTCTGCCAAGCAAGGTCATATATTTTTAATCATTTTCGTTTTCTAATTTTTTTTCTGTTGTAGTTACATTTTTTTTTTTTATCTTTCCCTTTTGCTATTGCAGCGATTTTACTTTATATTTCTTTCTCTTATTCTTTCCTCTGGTAATTCCTTCGCTTTTTCTTTCTTTTTACCTCTTCCACATCATTTCTTTCTCTTATTCTTTCCTCTGGTCATTCCTTCGCTTTTCTTTTTTTTTTTTACATCATTCATTTCTTTCCCTTTACTCTTTTTACTTATTTTTCTTTCCTTCTTCCACATCATTTCTTTCTCTTTTTCTTTCCTTTAAGTCCTTTGTATTTTTTTTATTTTTTATTCCACAACATTTCTTTCCCTTACTCTTTACTCTGGTAATTCCTTCGTTTTTCTTTCTTTGTACTTTTCCACATTTTCTTTCTCTTTATTCTTTCCTCCACATCATTTTTTTTTTTTTTACTTCTTCCACATCATTTCTTTCCTTTCCTCTGGTAAGTCCTTTGTATTTTTTTGTTTTTACCTCTTCCACAACATTTCTTTCCCTTACTCTTTACTCTGGTAATTCCTTCCTTTTTTTTCTTTTTTACTTTCCACATGTTTCTTTCCCTTACACATAAGTCATTTTTTTTTTTACCTCTTCCATTTTTTCCCTTATTCTTTCCTCTGGTCATTTTTTTTCTTTTTTTACTTTTTTTCTTTCCTTTTTTTTTCTTCTTCCACCACAACATTTCTTCATTTCTTTCCCTTTTTTGTTTTTTTTCCTCTGGTAAGTCCTTTGTATTTTTTTTGTTTTTTACCTCTTCCACAACATTTCTTTTCCTTACTCTTTTTACTCTGGTAATTCCTTCCTTTTTTCTTTTCTTTGTACTTCTTCCACATCATTTCTTTTTCTTTTACATCTTTCCTCTGGTAAGTCCTTTGTATTTTTTGTTTTTTACCTCTTCCACAACATTTCTTCCCTTTTTTCTTTCTTTGTACTTCTTCCACATCATTAATTCCTTCGCTTTTTCTTTTCTTTGTACTTCTTTTTTTTACCTCATCCACATCATTTCTTTCCCTTATTCTTTCCTCTGGTCAGTCCTTTGTATTTTTTTTTTTTTTTTTTTTTTTCTTTCCACAACATTTCTTTTCCTTTACTCTTTCCTCTGGTAATTCCTTTCTGTATTTTTTTTTCTTTTTACTTCTTCCACATCATTTCTTTCTCTTATTCTTTCCTCTGGTAAGTCCTTTTGTATTTTTTTGTTTTTTACCTCTTCCACAACATTTCTTTCCCTCTTTTTCTTTCCTCTGGTTTTTTTTCTTTCTTTGTATTCTTCCTATTTCTTTCTCTTATTCTTTTCCTTTCTTTTTACCTTCCACAACATTTCTTTCCCTTCTTTTTTCCTTTTACTTCTTCCAAGTTTCCTTTGTATTTTTTCTTTTTTTTTTACTCTGTAATTCTTCCACATCATTTCTTTCCCTTACTTTCCTTTAAGTCCTTTGTATTTTTTGTTCCTTCCTTTTTTTTTCTTTTTACCTCATCCACATTTCCACATCATTTCCCTTATTCTTTCCTCTGTAAGTCCTTTGTATTTTTTTTTTTTTTACCTCTTCCACAACATTTTTTCCCTTTTACTCTGGTTTTTCCTTCATCATTTCTTTTTCTTTATTTTCTCTTTTTTTTTTTTTACCTCTAATTTCTTCTTCCTTTAATTCACATCATTTCTTTCTTATTCTTTCCTCTGGTAAGTCCTTTGTATTTTTTTGTTTTTTTTTTCCTTACTCTTCCACAACATTTCTTTCCCTTTTTACTCTTTTACCACAACCTCCTTCGCTTTTTCTTTCTTTTTTACTTCTTCCACATCATTTCTTTCTCTTATTCTTTCCTCTGGTAATTCCTTTTGTATTTTTTTGTTTTTTACCTCTTCCACAACATTTCTTTCCCTTACTCTTTACTCTGGTAATTCCTTCCTTTTTTCTTTTCTTTTTACCTCATCCACATCATTTCATTCCCTTACTCTTTCCTCTGGTAAGTCCTTTGTATTTTTTTGTTTTTTACCTCTTCCACAACATTTCTTTCCCTTACTCTTTACTCTGGTAATTCCTTCGCTTTTTCTTTTTTTGTACTTCTTCCACATCATTTCTTTCTCTTATTCTTTCCTCTGGTAAGTCCTTTGTATTTTTTTGTTTTTTACCTCTTCCACAACATTTCTTTCCCTTACTCTTTACTCTGGTAATTCCTTCGCTTTTTCTTTCTTTTTACTTCTTCCACATCATTTCTTTCTCTTATTCTTTCCTCTGGTAAGTCCTTTGTATTTTTTTGTTTTTTACCTCTTCCACAACATTTTTTCCCTTACTCTTTACTCTGGTAATTCCTTCGCTTTTTTTTTTTTTTTTACTTCTTCCACATCATTTCTTTCTTATTCTTTCCTCTGGTAAGTCCTTTGTATTTTTTTTTTTTTTACCTCTTCCACAACATTTCTTTCCCTTACTCTTTACTCTGGTAATTCCTTCTTTTTTTTTTTTTTTTTACTTCTTCCACATCATTTCTTTCTCCTTATTCTTTCCTCTGGTAAGTCCTTTGTATTTTTTTTTTTTTTTTACCTCTTCCACAACATTTCTTTCCCTTACTCTTTTACTCTGGTAATTCCTTCGCTTTTTCTTTCTTTTGTACTTCTTCCACATCATTTTCTTTCTCTTATTCTTTCCTCTGGTAAGTCCTTTGTATTTTTTTTCTTTTTACCTCTTCCACAACATTTCTTTCCTCTTAATTCCTTCTTTTTTCTTTCTTTTTAACTTCTTCCACATCATTTCTTTCTCTTTATTCCTTCCTCTTTTTTGTATTTTTTGTTTTTTACCCTTCCACAACATTTCCCCTTACTCTTTACTCTGGTAATTCTTTTTTTTTCCTTTGGTTCCAATCATTTCTTTGTTTCCTCTGGTAAGTCCTTTGTATTTTTTTGTTTTTTACCTCTTCCACAACATTTCTTTCCCTTTACTTTTTTACTCTGGTAATTCCTTTCTGCTTTTTCTTTCTTTTTTACTTCTTCCACATCATTTCTTTCCCTTATTCTTTCCTCTGGTAAGTCCTTTGTATTTTTTTGTTTTTACCTCTTCCACAACATTTCTTTCCCTTACTTTTACTCTGGTAATTCCTTCTGCTTTTTTCTTTTTTGTACTTCTTCCACATCATTTCTTTCTCTTATTCTTTCCTCTGGTAAGTCCTTTTGTATTTTTTTGTTTTTTTTTCCACAACATTTTTTCACAACAATTTTTCTTTTTTTCTTTTTTTTTTACTTCTTCCACATCATTTCTTTCCCTTACTCTTTCCTCTGGTAATTTTTTTGTTTTTACCTCTTCCACAACATTTCTTTTTCTTTTTTGTAATTCTTCCACATCTTTTTTTACTTTTCCACATATTCTTTCCTCTTTCCTCTGGTAAGTCCTTTGTATTTTTTTTTTTTTACCTCTTCCACAACATTTCTTTCCCTTTCCCTTAATTCTTTTACTCTGGTAATTCCTTCGCTTTTTCTTTCTTTTGTACTTTTACTCCACATCATTTCTTTCTCTTATTCTTTTTTCCTCTGGTAAGTCCTTTGTATTTTTTTGTTTTTTTACCTCTTCCACAACATTTCTTTCCCTTACTCTTTTTACTCTGGTAATTCCTTCGCTTTTTTCTTTTCTTTTACTTCTTCCACATCATTTCTTTCCTTATTCTTTCCTCTGGTAAGTCCTTTGTATTTTTTTTTTTTTTTTTTACCTCTTCCACAACATTTCTTTCCCTTACTTTTTACTCTGGTAATTCCTTCGCTTTTTTTTTTTTTTACTTCTTCCACATCATTTCTTTCCCTTATTCTTTCCTCTGGTAAGTCCTTTTGTATTTTTTTTTTTTTACCTCTTCCACAACATTTCTTTCCCTTACTCTTTACTCTGGTAATTCCTTCCTTTTTCTTTTTTTGTACTTCTTCCACATCATTTCTTTCTTTATTCTTTCCTCTCTGGTAAGTCCTTTGTATTTTTTTTTTTTTACCTCTTCCACAACATTTCTTTCCCTTACTTTTTTTCTGGTAATTCCTTTTCGCTTTTTCTTTTCTTTGTACTTCTTCCACATCATTTCTTTCCCTATTCTTTCCTCTGGTAAGTCCTTTGTATTTTTTTTTTTTACCTCTTCCACAACATTTTTTCCCTTTTTTTTTTTCTTATTCTTTCCTCTTTTCTTTTTTTTTGTACTTCTTCCACATCATTTCTTTTCTTTATTCTTTCCTCTGGTAAGTCCTTTGTATTTTTTTGTTTTTTTACCTCTTCCACAACATTTCTTTCCCTTACTCTTTTACTCTGGTAATTCCTTCCTTTTTTTTTTTCTTTTTACTTCTTCCACATCATTTCTTTCCCTTATTCTTTCCTCTGGTAAGTCCTTTTGTATTTTTTTGTTTTTTACCTCTTCCACAACATTTCTTTCCCTTCTTTTTACTCTGGTAATTCCTTCCTTTTTTTTTCTTTTTTTACTTCTTCCACATCATTTCTTTTCTCTTATTCTTTCCTCTGGTAAGTCCTTTGTATTTTTTTTGTTTTTACCTCTTCCACAACATTTCTTTCCTTACTCTTTACTCTGGTAATTCCTTCCTTTTTCTTTCTTTTGCTTCTTCCACATCATTTCTTTCTCTTATTCTTTCCTCTGGTAAGTCCTTTTGTATTTTTTTGTTTTTACCTCTTCCACAACATTTCTTTCCCTTACTCTTTTACTCTGGTAATTCCTTCTTTTTCTTTCTTTTTACTTCTTCCACATCATTTCTTTCCTTACTCTTTCCTCTGGTAAGTCCTTTGTATTTTTTTTTTTGTTTTTTACCTTCCACAACATTTCTTTCCCTTACTTTTACTCTGGTAATTCAACATTTTTCTCTTTACATCATTTCTTTCTTTATTCTTTTACTCTGGTAATTCCTTTTTTTTTTTTTCTTTTTTTTACTTCCACCACATCATTTTACTTTCTCTTATTCTTTCCTTTCTTTTTACTAATCATCCTTTGTATTTTTTTTGTTTTTTACCTCTTCCACAACATTTCTTTCCCTTTACTTTTACCTTACTCTTTTTCTTTCTGGTAATTCCTTCCTTATTCTTTTTGGTAAGTCTTTCTTTTTTGTTTTTTACTTTCCACATCATTTCTTTCTCTTATTCTTTCCTCTGGTAAGTCCTTTTGTATTTTTTTTTTTTTTTACCTCTTCCACAACATTTCTTTCCCTTACTCTTTTACTCTGGTAATTCCTTCCTTTTTCTTTTTTTTTTTACTTCTTCCACATCATTTCTTTCCCTTATTCTTTCCTCTGGTAAGTCCTTTGTATTTTTTTTTTTTTTACCTCTTCCACAACATTTCTTTCCTTACTCTTTACTCTGTTAATTCCTTCCTTTTTTTCTCTTTTTTCTTTTTTCCTTACTTTTACTCTGTCTTCCTTCGCTTTTTTCTTTTTTTGTACTTTTCCACATCATTTCTTTCTTTTCCTTTGTATTTTTTTTTTTTTACCTCTTCCACAACATTTCTTTCCCTTACTCTTTTACTCTGGTAATTCCTTCCTTTTTTTTTCTTTTTTTTTACTTCTTCCACATCATTTCTTTCCTTACTCTTTCCTCTGGTAAGTCCTTTTGTATTTTTTGTTTTTTACCTCTTCCACAACATTTCTTTCCTTACTCTTTACTCTGGTAATTCCTTCGCTTTTTCTTTCTTTGTACTTCTTCCACATCATTTCTTTCTCTTATTCTTTCCTCTGGTAAGTCCTTTGTATTTTTTTGTTTTTTACCTCTTCCACAACATTTCTTTCCCTTACTCTTTACTCTGGTAATTCCTTCGCTTTTTCTTTCTTTTTACTTCTTCCACATCATTTCTTTCTCTTATTCTTTCCTCTGGTAAGTCCTTTGTATTTTTTTGTTTTTTACCTTTTTTTTCCTCTTCCACAATTCCTTTTTTTCTTTCTTTTTACTTCTTCCACATTTCTTTCCTTTACTCTTTCCTCTGGTAATTCCTTTTGTATTTTTTTGTTTTTTACCTCTTCCACAACATTTCTTTTCCTTACTTTTTACTCTGGTAATTCCTTTTTTTTTTTCTTTTTACTTCTTCCACATCATTTCTTTTTTTTATTCTTTCCTCTGGTATTTTTTTTTATTTTTTTTTTTTTTACCTCTTCCACAACATTTCTTTCCCTTACTCTTTACTCTGGTAATTCCTTCCTTTTTTCTTCTTTTTTACTTCTTCCACATCATTTCTTTCTCTTATTCTTTCCTCTGGTAAGTCCTTTGTATTTTTTTGTTTTTTACCTCTTCCACAACATTTCTTTCCCTTACTCTTTACTCTGGTAATTCCTTCGCTTTTTCTTTCTTTTTACTTCTTCCACATCATTTCTTTCTCTTATTCTTTCCTCTGGTAAGTCCTTTGTATTTTTTTGTTTTTTACCTCTTCCACAACATTTCTTTCCTTACTCTTTACTCTGGTAATTCCTTCGCTTTTTCTTTCTTTTTACTTCTTCCACATCATTTCTTTCTCTTATTCTTTCCTCTGGTAAGTCCTTTGTATTTTTTTGTTTTTTACCTCTTCCACAACATTTCTTTCCCTTACTCTTTACTCTGGTAATTCCTTCCTTTTCTTTCTTTGTACTTCTTCCACATCATTTCTTTCTCTTATTCTTTCCTCTGGTAAGTCCTTTGTATTTTTTTGTTTTTACCTTTCACAACATTTCTTTCCCATTTCTTTCCTTACACTTTTGGTAATTCCTTCTTTTTTTTTTTCTTTGTACTTCTTCCACATCATTTCTTTCTCTTATTCTTTCCTCTGGTAAGTCCTTTGTATTTTTTTGTTTTTTACCTCTTCCACAACATTTCTTTTCCCTTACCTTTACTCTGGTAATTCCTTCCTTTTCTTTCTTTTTTACTTCTTCCACATCATTTCTTTCCCTTACTCTTTCCTCTGGTAAGTCCTTTGTATTTTTTTGTTTTTTACCTCTTCCACAACATTTCTTTCCCTTACTCTTTACTCTGGTAATTCCTTCGCTTTTTCTTTCTTTTTACTTCTTCCACATCATTTCTTTCTCTTATTCTTTCCTCTGGTAAGTCCTTTGTATTTTTTTTTTTTTTACCTCTTCCACAACATTTCTTTCCCTTACTCTTTCCTCTGGTAATTCCTTCGCTTTTTCTTTCTTTTTACTTCTTCCACATCATTTCTTTCCCTTACTCTTTCCTCTGGTAAGTCCTTTGTATTTTTTTTGTTTTTTACCTCTTCCACAACATTTCTTTCCCTTACTCTTTACTCTGGTAATTCCTTCGCTTTTTCTTTCTTTGTACTTCTTCCACATCATTTCTTTCTCTTATTCTTTCCTCTGGTAAGTCCTTTGTATTTTTTTTGTTTTTTTTCCTCTTCCACAACATTTCTTTCCCTTACTTTTTACTCTGGTAATTCCTTTTTTTTTTTTTTTTACTTCTTCCACATCATTTCTTTCTCTTATTCTTTCCTCTGGTAAGTCCTTTTGTATTTTTTTTTTTTACCTCTTCCACAACATTTCTTTCCCTTTACTCTTTACTCTGGTAATTCCTTCGCTTTTTTCTTTCTTTTTACTTCTTCCACATCATTTCTTTCTCTTATTCTTTCCTCTGGTAAGTCCTTTGTATTTTTTTTTTTTTTTCTTCCACAACATTTCTTTCCCTTACTTTTACTCTGGTAATTCCTTCTTTCTTTTTTACTTTTCCACATCATTTTCTTTCTCTTATTCTTTCCTCTGGTAAGTCCTTTGTATTTTTTTGTTTTTTACCTCTTCCACATTTCTTTCCTCTTTTACTCTGGTAATTCCTTCGCTTTTTCTTTCTTTTTACTTCTTCCACATCATTTCTTTCTTTTCTTTCCTCCCTTTGTATTTTTTTTTTTTTTACCTCTTCCACAACATTTCTTTCCCTTACTCTTTTTCTGGTAATTCCTTCTTTTTTTCTTTCTTTTTACTTCTTCCACATCATTTCTTTCTCTTATTCTTTCCTCTGGTAAGTCCTTTGTATTTTTTTTTTTTTTTTACCTCTTCCACAACATTTCTTTCCCTTACTTTTACTCTGGTAATTCCTTCCTTTTTTCTTTTCTTTTTACTTCTTCCACATCATTTCTTTCCTTTATTCTTTCCTCTAGTAAGTCCTTTGTATTTTTTTGTTTTTTACCTCTTCCACAACATTTTCTTTCCCTTACTCTTTACTCTGGTAATTCCTTCGCTTTTTTTTCTTTTTTACTTCTTCCACATCATTTCTTTCTCTTATTCTTTCCTCTGGTAAGTCCTTTGTATTTTTTTTTTTTTACCTCTTCCACAACATTTCTTTCCCTTACTCTTTACTCTGGTAATTCCTTCTTTTTCTTTTTCTTTTTTTACTCTTCCACATCATTTCTTTTTCTTTATTCTTTCCTCTGGTAAGTCCTTTGTATTTTTTTTTTTTTTTTTACCTCTTCCACAACATTTCTTTCCCTTACTCTTTACTCTGGTAATTCCTTCGCTTTTTCTTTTCTTTTTTACTTCTTCCACATCATTTCTTTCCTTTATTCTTTCCTCTGGTAAGTCCTTTTTGTATTTTTGTTTTTACCTTTCCACTTACATTTTTCCTTTCCTTTACTCTTTAATTCTTCGCTTTTTCTTTTGTTACTTCTTCCTTTTCTTTCTTTTTTTTAAGTCTTTTTTTTTTTTGTTTTTTACTTCTTCCACATCATTTCTTTCCTTCTTTTTTCTCTGGTAATTCCTTTTGTTTTTTTTTGTTTTTTTCTTCCACCTCTTTCTTTCAACATTTCTTTCCTCTTAAGTCCTTTTGTATTTTTTGTAATTCCTTTCTTTCCCTTTTTTTTACTTTTTCTTTTTTTTACTTCTTCCACATCATTTCTTTTCTTATTCTTTCCTCTGGTAAGTCCTTTGTATTTTTTTTTTTTTACCTCTTCCACAACATTTCTTTCCCTTTACTCTTTACTCTGGTAATTCCTTCGCTTTTTTCTTTCTTTTTTTTTCTTCCACATCATTTCTTTCTCTTATTCTTTCCTCTGGTAAGTCCTTTGTATTTTTTTTTTTTTACCTCTTCCACAACATTTCTTTCCCTTACTCTTTTACTCTGGTAATTCCTTCGCTTTTTTTCTTTTCTTTTTTTCTTCCACATCATTTCTTTCCCTTACTCTTTCCTCTGGTAAGTCCTTTGTATTTTTTTTTTCTTTTTTACCTCTTCCACAACATTTCTTTCCTTTACTCTTTTACTCTGGTAATTCCTTCTTTTTTCTTTCTTTTTTACTTCTTCCACATCATTTCTTTCTCTTTATTCTTTCCTCTGGTAAGTCCTTTGTATTTTTTTTTTTTTTTTACCTCTTCCACAACATTTCTTTCCTTTACTCTTTACTCTGGTAATTCCTTCGCTTTTTCTTTCTTTGTACTTCTTCCACATCATTTCTTTCTCTTATTCTTTCCTCTGGTAAGTCCTTTGTATTTTTTTGTTTTTTACCTCTTCCACAACATTTCTTTCCTTTACTCTTTTTACTCTGGTAATTCCTTCCTTTTTCTTTCTTTGTACTTCTTCCACATCATTTCTTTCCCTTATTCTTTCCTCTGGTAAGTCCTTTGTATTTTTTGTTTTTTTACCTCTTCCACAACATTTCTTTCCCTTACTTTTACTCTGGTAATTCCTTCCTTTTTTCTTTCTTTTTTACTTCTTCCACATCATTTCTTTCCTTATTCTTTCCTCTGGTAAGTCCTTTGTATTTTTTTTTTTTACCTCTTCCACAACATTTCTTTCCCTTACTCTTTACTCTGGTAATTCCTTCCTTTTTTTTTTTCTTTGTACTTCTTCCACATCATTTCTTTCTCTTATTCTTTCCTCTGGTAAGTCCTTTGTATTTTTTTTGTTTTTTACCTCTTCCACAACATTTCTTTCCCCTTACTCTTTACTCTGGTAATTCCTTCCTTTTTTCTTTCTTTTGTACTTCTTCCACATCATTTCTTTCTCTTATTCTTTCCTCTGGTAAGTCCTTTGTATTTTTTTGTTTTTTACCTCTTCCACAACATTTCTTTCCCTTACTCTTTACTCTGGTAATTCCTTCGCTTTTTCTTTCTTTGTACTTCTTCCACATCATTTCTTTCCCTTACTCTTTCCTCTGGTAAGTCCTTTGTATTTTTTTGTTTTTTACCTCTTCCACAACATTTCTTTCCCTTACTCTTTACTCTGGTAATTCCTTCGCTTTTTCTTTCTTTGTACTTCTTCCACATCATTTCTTTCTCTTATTCTTTCCTCTGGTAAGTCCTTTGTATTTTTTTGTTTTTTACCTCTTCCACAACATTTCTTTCCCTTACTCTTTACTCTGGTAATTCCTTCGCTTTTTCTTTCTTTGTACTTCTTCCACATCATTTCTTTCTCTTATTCTTTCCTCTGGTAAGTCCTTTTGTATTTTTTTTTTACCTCTTTCCACAACATTTCTTTCCTTACTCTTTACTCTGGTAATTCCTTCGCTTTTTCTTTCTTTGTACTTCTTCCACATCATTTCTTTCTCTTATTCTTTCCTCTGGTAAGTCCTTTGTATTTTTTTTTTTTTTACCTCTTCCACAACATTTCTTTCCCTTACTCTTTCCACTATTAATCCTTCGCTTTTTCTTTCTTTTTACCTCTTCTACGTCATTTGTTTCTCTTCCTCTTTCCTCTGGTAATTCTTTCGGTATTTTTCTTTCTTTTCACCTCATCAACATCATTTCTTTCTCTTACTCATTCCTCTGGTAATTCCTTCGTTTTTTCTTTCTTTTTACCTCATCCACATCATTTCTTTCCTTTACTCTTTCTACTAGTAATTCCTTCACTTTCTCTTTCTTTTTACCTCTTCCACATCATTTCTTTCTCTTACTCTTTCCTCTGGTAAGTCCTTCGCTTTTTACCTTCTTTTTACCCCATTCACATCATGACTAACTTTGCATCATTTGTTTTATTTCCCTGTTTGTTTAATCCACCCTTTCCTATCTTCTGTACTTTCACTCTTCATTTTTTTCTTTTCATTCTGTCATTTCATTATTCAGTTTTTATCCTTCGTATTTTTTCTTTAATTTCATCACCATAACAGCTATCTCCGTATTCTTTCTCCCTGTTTTCCTTTTCATCTCAAATATCATTATTTTTATTGTTTACTCCCTTTCTTTTTCTCTTTTATTTTCCTTATTATTTCCATTCTATAAGTATTTCTTCTAACAAGTCTTGATTCATCTCCTTCTTTTGTCTCCTTTTAATTCTTAATCAGCGTACTTTTCTTCCTGCGATAAGATAAGCACCAACACAAGATGGCTGCCAAATAAACGATTTGAAATGCGATGCGAGAAGGCATTGCTTGCTTCCGGTCACAAACGGAAGTTAATTTAATTGAAACGCAATCTTTCAAAAAGAAGTCCCCCAACATGTGATTCCATGTGACCAAGAACCACTATAATAAATACCGAAAATAATTCAATAATTTCTTTTATTTTGAATAAAGAAATAGAACAAAAATGAAATATTTTTCATTTAAATTTTAATTTATTTTTTAAGAAAGGGCAATCATTGCTTCATCAGTACGAGTCTCATTATCACTAAATTGAGTCGATAGAAAGATTCCAGAAAAAATGCTTACGGCCTTTTTATTATCTTTTAGTCATACGTCGAAAACAATGTCTAACATTAACACATCAACATGGAAACCCGATCTATCAAGAGACCTGGCTAGACACATATATAGATATATATAAATATTAATGAAGTCTGGCAGAAGGACACAAATTAAAAATCGCATAAGGTGCTATGATGCCAGAATAAATTACTCCTGGTTATGACGATAAACTAGAAGGTGTAATGGATGAAATGTCGTCAAAAATTACGCAAGACTGAAAATAATACTACATCCCATTTTAACAGATATATTTACCAAAATTACACAAAAATATCGTGACATACTAAAGAGGAAATTCATTCAATAAAATTTTCCTTCAGACAACTTCGGAATGCCCTGCAACTCTTCTGGACGCTCTCCTTGTTTAAGTTGGAGAATGCTGCCGTATTGCTTGCCTTCAGTTCATCTTTGGTGTTACATGGAGTTTTGTTGGTCTCTCTTTCATCTGCGCCTCCCCCACATAATAATCAAGGTGGTTGTAGTTTGGAGACTTTGATGTCCAGATTTAAGCGTTATTGTCGTCGCAGAAATTGTCTGAAAGCCGTAACTGGGTTCTCCTGCCTTTGCAGCATGGTGCAGAGTCCTGTTGCCAGACATAGTGACTTCCAGCAGGCACCGTCTTGACCCAGAGCAGCACTACATCCTCTAAGCAACTAATTTAGGTCTGCGTGTTGTGTCTGGGGTCCTGCGGAGAGGTGAATAGAGGCATAACGTCACCATCATCATGCCGTTTCCAAATTTCTGGCGGAGTGAATTGCGTCATGGTGTTCTTTTTCTCAAAGACGGTGCCATACTCACCCTACTATATTGTGCAGTCGACAAAATCCAAAACAAACAACGCGCAGGCGCGAAATAAAAAAAATAGGAAATTGTAACAATTTACCCATCGTACACTGTATATCCGACAGCAAGGCTCCTGTTCGGGAGATTGGAGATTTTGAGGAGCGTGGGACCACCTCTTAATTGCTGTTTTTCCCAGGTTCATCCCAACCCGGGTTGATAGGATTTGTTAGGGTCACAGCTATGGGTAAATGGTGACCCCCCCCCACTAAAAAAAACACTATGAAATTATAAAATACAAATTTTATCGTAAAAATACCTGCAATACATTAGTATAAAAAATAACAAACAGTACCTGTTTATCGTAAAATTACAATACATTTCATCAGTAGTTTAAGGCATACAAATTCGTTCAAAATATATTTAATTGAAGCCATACAATTATATTCAAAATATTTAGAAGTTAACATGTGGCTAAATAAAATTAACCAACCAACCTGAATAGATATTGCACTTAAATTTAACACCAGAACAAAGAAATCGGATGTTATTTCTCCTGTATAGCCACTAAAACTTCACTTCTTACCCTTTATTACGCTAATACAACTCCACTCAGTAAACCACTACCTTGAGTGGCTCATAGACCTTGTATATGGTGGGTATTAGTAATAAAAAAAAAAAACATTCTGAAACTATAAACTTGAATAATGAATAAAAGTTATAAGTTTATGTAGGGAAGATAACGGTTAACTATAGACTTGAAGAGGTTAAAATTGTATTGATCGAGGAAGCATCCTCTTGGGAGTCAGTTACACAAAGCAGCGGTGTATGAGAAGTACCACCCAATGGAATATAAAGGGAAGGCTAGAAATGCTGGAACTAAAGAATGTGGTTCATCTGAACACTTTCCATGGAAATAACAGCAGATTAGCAAGAGGTTTGCAATGTTTCTTCTGTGGGTAAGGAACCATAGAATGGAAAATAATTCATCATCAACAAGACCACATAGATGTTTCTGGCATCCATCAAGACTGGGAAGCTCCAGCTCATATATGGCAGCAGTACACCATACTTTGGGTCTGGTCAGAACCAGGTAGAGGGTTACAGAGTAAGAGGCCCAATTTATGGAGATATGTGGGAAGATAATGGTTAACCATATATTTCAGATTGTAGTGATCAAGGAAGCATCCTCTTGGGAGTCAGTTACACAAAGCAGCGGCTTATGAGAAGTACCTCCCAATGGAATATGAAGGGGGTGGTGTTTCTTGGGCAAGATAACCTGACGGAGCCCGGTTTTGAATTCACCCAAGGCTATAGAATCCGGTCTATTTACCCATAGCTTGAAGAAGAGGATTCATACCTTTCCCAAGAGTATCTATTAGCATGTAAGTGAATGCAATTAATTCAACTGGAATTCGAACTCGGTTCTCCGATTCCTCAATCAGAGCCTCTATCCATTACACCACCGTATTATTAATTATATAAATACACTCATTTTGTGACAACTTTAGTTTCACTTCTGTCAATAAAAGGAATTAATTCTACGATTCCTCTCTATAACTTATAACTTTTGCATGTCTTTTTTCTTTCCTCTTTTTTACAGTAAGGTTCACCATGTACAAAGCTCGGGAGCCACTCGAAGTAGAAGAGTAGTTTATATGGATATGAGGGGAAGACAATGGTCGACTCTAAATTTGAACAGGTGAAGATTGTAGTGATCGAGGAAACGTCTTCTTGGGAGTCTATTCCAAAAGGCAGAGGTTTGGTGAAAGATGGGAAAACGGTGGTAATAGGGGCGGTTTGCTACTAAGTGGCACGGCGGGTCCTAGCCATTAAGGTCAGAACTTTTTTTTTAATCGGAATCATCCCAAGCAAGGTAGTAAAGCCACTAAGATACAAGAGGTTACAGAGTGCGGAAGCATTAGGAACAGAAACATGAATGATGAGCAGAAAGAGAAGAGAGTAATCAGCTGAACATAGAGAGGCAACTTTACGACGGTGGGTAAGGGATTGAAGCCGAGACGCCAGATCAGGACAAACAATATTGCAGATTCTTCTTTGGACGTTATCAAGGAGCCAAAAGTACATATAACTGCACTGGATACTATGTGTCAGCAATATTCTAAGCATGGTGGAACCGAAGATGCAGTTCATCCGAACACTTTCCAAGCTAGTAGTGATATATATAGAGAGAAAAATATATATATATAATATATATATATATATATATATATATATATATATATATATAATTGGTATATACGAATGAATTCAATAACTAAATGAATTACTATTCTTAAAAGAGTGCTCAATACAAAAGTAGAGCAGATATAATTATTTTTATAAAAAATTATAACATAAGTATGTTATAAAATCACTACAAAAATAGCCATTTTGTTTCAACACACTCTGTGTCTTATCAAGTGATGATGTTGAAAATAAAATAAATGGTTTTAAAAGTTTCAGATTAATTAACGATCCTACACATTTCTTCATTGAAATTACGTTCGACAAGACGCTACAATATATCCCGTCATTTGACAATACATGTATATATTTTTTTTCTTTTCCCTTTCTTTTCCTTTTTTATTTTAAAGTGTGTGAATGTGGTCTTAAACTCACGCGCAAAACGACAATGAAGAAATGAATTGAATAAACATATATATTTTTTCTTTTCTCAATAATTTTGTAGTTTTTAAACTTAATAGTGATTAAATTTGGATTTTAAAATTGCCAGTTTTTAATTTTAATATTAAATTTTATCATATAATTTTATAATTATTGGTTAGTATAAATTATTTTAAAATTACACGTATTTTCAAGATCTGAATAGCTATTATAACATGACTTCGTTGTCAAGCTTTTGAATGTTTCTATACTTGGTTTCTGATTGGTTATTCTAGCTTTTGTAACAATGTTTCCTCCTAGTGTAGGATCGTTAATTAATCTGAAACTTTTAAAACCATTTATTTTATTTTCAACATCATCGCTTGATAAGACACAGAGTGTTGAAACAAAAAATGGCTATTTTTGTAGTGATTTTTATAACATACTTATGTTATAATTTTTTTAAAAAATAATTATATATATATATATATATATATACAGAGAGAAGAAGTTCAGATAGAAATGGCTGGAGAATGTGGAAAAGAGAAAGAGATGGAGAGGGGAGAGAAAGTGGCGAAGAAGTTGAGAGAGAGAAAGGAATGAGAGTGAAATGAATATGGAGTAAGGGTAAGAGAAACGGATGTAGAGGGGAGAGGGAAAAGAGTGAAAGTGATGAAGGGAAGGATAGAGAAAAGGGATGAAAGAAAAGAAAGAAAGAAAGAAAGAAAGAAAGAAAGAAAAAGAAAGAAAGAAAAAGAAAGAAAGAAAAAGAAAGAAAGGGCTAGAGAGAGTGAACGAGAAAGAGATGGAGAGGGTGGGAGAGAGAGAGAAAGAAAGGAATGTGGATGTAAGAGAGAGAAACGGGGGTATGGGGGGAGAGAGAGAAATGGATGAAGAGGGGAAGACAGAAAAAGAGAACAAGGGACGAAGCAAGAAAGAAAGAAAGAAAGAAAGAAAGAAAGAAAGAAAGAAAGAAAGAAAAAAGAAAGAAAGAAAGAAAGAAAGAAAGGGCTAGCGAGAGTGAACAAGAAAAGGGATGGAGAGGAAGGAAAAGAGAGAAAGGGAGAGGGAAAGGGCTGGTGAGAAAGAGAAAAAGGGCTGGAAAATAAGAGATAGACGCATAGAGAGGAAGGGATGAAGCGTGTGATAGAGAGAGAGAAAGGGATGTAGAGTGTGAAAGAAAGAAAGAAAGAAAGAAAGAAAGAAAGAAAGAAAGAAATTCTTATTTTCACTATCACGATGGCTTCAGTTGTGTATCCCTGGACTCACTAAATATGAGACAATTCGCATTTAACCCTGAATGTTCCCATATAATACTGGTGAATGTGGATTGTCTTAGTAAAAAGGAAAATAATTTTTCCCATCAATAGAAACAAGTAATTTTATGTCTCCTCTCGTGGTTCATAGCTTTTCACATATCCTATGTTTAGTATCAAGTATGAGTTCAGGTCTGTATCTCTGCGCGTGATGGCTTCATGTGAATGCCATAACTTACATTACAGTCCTGAATGACCAAACACGCTACTCCTGAAAATCCATTTTCGAATATTTAAATTATTTAAAACTTCTTTACACTATTTACATTGTTCGGGCTGTTCTCCTCAACTTGATTGTTATATTCACGACGTTTCAATTGTTGTACACTCCGGCCTTCTTCAGGTGATTGAAATTTCGAACCCTTTATTTCGTCCACCGGGGTAGATTGTTCTAGTTTCACGTTCCATGCCTCTTCTGGATATCTCAGTTTTGTTATTTCCGTTTAGTAACTCAACACTCTAATTTTTAGTTCACCTCTGCTGTGGCCTGGTATTGAACTCGCAACACTGAATTATTTCAACCAACGCTATTATCCACTGGGTCCCTGAGGTCAATGTAAATAGACTAAATAGTTAAAATACCTCATCTCAGAAATATATAAATATTAAAAGTTCTTAATAAAACTTTCAATGAAAATAGTAATATTCGGTGGTGTGGGTTTTTATTATTTTCGGGGTTGCATCAAAATCCTTGGCACAAGAAAGTTGATAAAAAAATCAATGAAAGAGTGGACAGCGAAAAATATATTAATTTGCTAAAACCCACCCCCTTCAAACAAATATAGAAGAAGATGAAATATTCTAATATGATGGATCATCTTGTCATAAGTTGCGTGTCAGAAAGAAATTTCTCACTGATAAAGACATTTACAGGCTCGGCCACCCCACAAAGCCCTGACTTTACCATAATCGAACCTATGCGGAGAAAGTTGAAAACTCTGGCGTAGAATAGAAAGCCGAAAAACTCTGAAGAGTTTTGGTCTTATTGTCAAGAGGAATGGTAGAATATTCCTGGTGATTTTTTTTTATTATTTATATTATTTTATTCTATATTGAGATGAGTTTTGAGTTCGAGCAATACTAAATAATGAATTACAATATTTAATCTCTAAAAATATATGCATAAGTATTTTGTTCATTTTTTTCGCTGAATAAAAGCTGCTAATTGTATGTTTTCTCTTGTGGCTCATAAATTTGTGCACGCCTTATTTTCTGTATCACGATATGTTCTATTCTGTATTCTCCTCGTAATAGATCCATATGAATCCGACAACTTGCTTATTACCGTTCCAGAATAGACATGAATACTCTGCCCGAAAGTACATTGACGAATAGTTAAGGTATGTTAATAAAAATACTGTATATATATATATATATATATATATATATATATATATATATATATATATATATATAAATTATATATATATAAATTATATATATATATATATATATATAAAGAGAGAGAAAGATATATATATATATATATATATATATAGAGAGATATCCAGAGAGAGGATATATATATCTAGAGAGAGAAGATATATATATAGAGAGGAGAGAGAGGAGAGAGAAAAGTAATTTAATCAAAATGGCTGGAGAATGTAGAAAAGAGATGGAGGGATGGAGAAAGTGGCGAAAGAAGTTGAGAGAAAGAAAGAAAGGGAAAGAGAGAAAAGAGAGAAAGAGAAAAGAAAGTGGGGTAAAGAGAGAGAAACGGATGTAGAGGGAGGGAAAAGTGAGGAAACGGGTGATAGAGGAAAAGGGATGGAAAGAAAGAAAGAAAGAAAGAAAGAAAGAAAAGAAAGAAAGAAAGAAAGAAAGAAAGAAAGAAAGAAAGAAAGGAGCTAGCGAGAGTGAACAAGAAAGGGATGGAAAGGGTGTAAGAGATAGAAAGGGATTTACAGCTTGAGAGAGAGAAAAACGGGTAGAAAAGGAGGATAGCGGCAGAGAGAGGAAGGTATGAAGCGCGTGACAGACAGAGAGAAAGAGACGTAGTGGTTGAAAGAAAGAAAGAAAGAAAGAAAGAAAGAAAGAAAGAAATGGATAGAGAGGCTGAGTGAGAAAGTGATGGAAAGGGTGGAAGAGAGGAAAAAGGATGAAAAGTTTGAAAAAGGAACGGAGAATTTGAGACAGAGTGAAATGAATGTAGAAGGTAAGAGAGAGAAAAGGGTATGTAGAGTGAAAGAAAGAAAGAAAGAAAGAAAGAAAGAAAGAAAGAAAGAAAAGGATGGAGAGAGAGAAATCGATCAAAAGGGTGGGAGAGAAAGAAATTGATGGAAATTATGGGAGAGAGAGAGAGAAAGGGATGGAGAGAGTGGGAGAGAGATAAAAAAATAGTGAGGAGGCAGACAATCAAACAGCTACGAAATGTAATATTCAAAACTAGATCTCTGTTAAGGTTCCAGAAGCGTCCATTGCCAGCAAAGACATACTTGCTATATTTTCAGTCAATAATATTTAAACGTCAGGCAACACTAATTAATGTTTCACTGCGGATCAGCGGACATGATCAACTGATGACTTAAAGGTTTCCAACGATACAGTCATCATTTATTCATGATACACTTTTAAATGATGTATTGGCAACTCTTGGATTCATGAGATTAGTATTTAATCGGATAACTGAGGTTACGCCATTTCTTGGAGTATTTGGATACAGATACTGTTGGAAGAATAAAAACAACAATAGTGCTATGTCTGCATGTGTACTTTTCAAACAAAAGAAAAAGGCGAAAAATGGTGACAACTTGCTTGGAAAGATGAACAACTCCCTTTTACTTAGAATGTATCAACTAGTATCATACTGTTAAAAAAAGTATTGCCGTATTTTCCGGCTTACAAGACGCACTTTCTTTCCTAAAAAAATACCCTGAAAATTACGTGTGCGTCTTCCAAGACGAATGTAAGGCAACGCCCAGGCTCAAGTAAGCTTGGACGGTCACCTAATTGGCTTGATTGATAGGGACGTGGATTTGTATATTGAGTCATTACACTATAATGTTAACTATCTAATTCAGCCTTTTATATAATATAACCTCGGTACTTAGCTGTTACAAATATTTCCAAGATTATAAACCTTCCTGGAGCCGAGCCACAAGATTAAACATGCTCTGTTTACAAGCAGAGGCGGGACCCTTTCTGCTCTTGACTAGTATGTCATTGCCATACAAACAAAATCGGACGAGTGATTAATGTAATCAATACGTGGGGCTGATATGTGAAGGTCGCATGGTGAATGTGTTGTTGTATGAGAATGACATTTTTTTCTTTTCAATATTAGGGTGCGTCTTCCAATCCGCAGCGTCTTGTAAGCCAGAAAATAAGGTAAGTTTAAAAACTTAATATTTCCTTTACTATCTTCTTCCTTTAATCTAAAACAGCTGAAATATCCTTTTTAAAGATTTTTCTTATAAGGGGAAAAGTAATATAAATTCTATATACAAAAACCCTGCTGGAAAATCAATGAAAACCTGGAAATTTTTTAGGGCGATATGTTTCCCCCTTTAGAACTAAAGTGATGTTTACGTTGATGTGACAACACGTGAAACAAAAGTAGACCACGTTACCATAAAGGAAACGCATATTATGGAAGGTAGCGTGACGTCTAACTGATCGTCATTTCTAGTCCATCCTCTATTACTATTCGGATCTCCATTTCTACTCTATCCTCTATTACTATACGGACCGCTATTCTCTACTCTATATTCTCACTATACTGTTTCTCTATTCAGATCACTATACGGATTACTATTCGAGCGAGTCTTATCGAGTAAGTACTCTTAATGCGAGTGATATTCGAAGGTGCCTGACACAAGCATTGTTCAGCGGCGTTACTATAGCGTTAAGGCGATTGCAAATTCCCTAAATACAGCGAAGCATTCCAAAAGTGACAACAAGTGTTCGTTGAGATCACAAAAAAGGGAACGCTGAAATTTTAAACTTTTAAATTTATTATTTTCTGTTATTTACCCTATTTACATTCGGTGTCAGTCAGTTATATGCCATGCATGATACACGATTAGGCGATCATGTACCTTTCGATACATGACTGACGAGGCAGATTTTTTCCAGCAGTAAGTTGTCATTTCTTTCTGCGGTAGACCAGCTGCCATCCAAGGCCATAAACCCGGTCTGTCTTGCTATTTACCCATAGCTGGGACGGAGAAGAGGATTTATACCTTTCCCAAAGGTAATTAGCACGTAAGTTAATGTAATGGATTCGACTGGAATTCGAACCCGGCTCTCCGATTCCACAATCCGAACCGCTATCCATTACTCCTCCGTATTATCCTCATGTCACGCTTCTGCTGTTGTGTCTTCCTGCCTTCATTAGGTGTATATTGATCGGTACTAAAAATAAGAACTAGACTATCCCTAGACATGGGCAGTGGAATAAAAACAGTCGATCGCCGTAGATTAAATAAAGGGTTCGGCTCGGAATTCCCTGTAGGTTACCTGTATCGATATGTACCTGATGAAGGCCGGAAAGCAAAACGGCCGAAACGTTGTGAAAACAAAAAAAGATGAAGACAATAGTCCGAATGTAAATAGTGTAAATAATGATAATTCAGTGACTGAGAAGCATGCCGCATTGCGGTTATAGAAAATCTGCCAAAAAAGATGAAATTTTGTAAGAATCCGCATGCAACTTTACTGCGTTGTCACACCAGCGTAAACATCCCTTTAGTCCGAGGAAGTCGTAAAGATGTAGACGCGTCACACGAAAACATCTTTTATCAATTAATTTCCAAACGCTATATTGGAAAAATCATTGACAAAATGCAAAAAGCTATTTTTATATATAATTAAAGCAAAAATAATCATAAAAATTATGCTTTAAAAAAATGAATTTTCTCCCTTTTTTTACCCGTTTTGGGTGCTCGTCCGGGTAACATTTACCCGCCCATTTAAGCATCAAGCATGCCCATTGATATATATATATATATATATATATATATATATAAATAAATCTGACTGATAATAATATGAAAAGAATTTCAACTTGTCACTCGGGATAAAATTAAACTCTCCACAATGTGAATCGGTTTTACGTAGAAAGAAAACATTTTATTTCATGGCGAATAAAAACGATTGAAAATCTTCCCCAATTTCTTTATCTTTTTTTTTTTCTTTTTTTTTTTCAGGTATACTTTTTCGACATTCCGAAACCTGGAGCTTTTCATGTTCCTACGAATATATATATTTTACCTTTGTTACTCTCATTATAATATTCACTTCGAATAAAGCGACAGAAGTTTTATAGTTATACATACATATAGATAATATATACACAATTTTTTTTAGGATTGTCTTCAACCGAGCATTTTCTTTAATCTTCTATGACTGCCTGACACCCAATTGGATTGTTCCCCCACCCACTTGCACATCTAGGCCCATTTTTCCCT